ACAATTCTAGAGCGAGGGAAACGATACTGGAGGAGGACCTGGCGAGGAATGTGAGCTTGAGTCTTCATAACTCCTTCTGCTTGAACCGGGAGTCGAAGGTGAAAGGCCTACCAAGTCAATTGAAAAGGTTGCAAGAGCAGAGAGAGTGGATGCGAGCCTATGAACAGCTGAAGGCCTGGGAGGAAATTGTGATTAGCTCCGATGACGAAGAGGCACTATTGGAACAAATTACAGTGCCAAGAACACCGGTATCAGGTACCTCGAAGGCGAAGAACATGAGGTGAGCCAGTGGCTCGAAAGGAAATTCTAGAGTCTTGAGTCTTGAGAGGGAGGGGGCTTGAGCGTGAACTTGGATGAAATCTGGGTTCACGAAAAAGAAATTTTAGACGAATAAGATATTGTTATTAATATGATAGATCTAGTATATAAATCAAATTGATGCATGACAATTCTCTGACTGAAATAGGACAAAAGAAATTTTAAAAATTACCAGCTTAAAAAGCGGGGATCCATGGGTGCAGGTGTGTGCAGATTTTGATTGCTGTTTAGCGATAGTGTGAAAATTTTATATGGTTGTGAATTTTGGAAGGTAGATAAACTTAAGTCCGATGCAAACTTCTGTAAATGACCACTGGCACTGTATCTTGAGCAACACTCGGTTCTCTGGGACTTATTGGCAGATGACAACACAAGATGAGGACATCGATCTCGAGTCCGGGGAGTATGTGCCAGTCGGTCATGTCTGGGGGTTTGACCTTGAGAAATACGTAATTTTGGAGTGAAATTTTAATTTTGCAAAATTCGAATCGAGCCTGTCATGCTCAATTTTCTCGAACCAACTGAAAATGAAAAAGTCAGAAATCAGAACACCCGAATTAACAATTGCGGGAAACTACTCAAAAAAAAGGCAGGAAATTGCTATTCGCAATTTCTCGATACGAAATATCAAGAGAGTAGAGCTGTCTTGTCCTGAAAACAGGAGAATCGAATACGGACTTGAGACAGAACAATTATTCGAATGGAAGGGAGTGGACTCTGAATGGAAGAGTGGACAACTCGAGTGTCCAAAGGGTTCATTCAGAGACTTTGATTCTAGAGACAAAAACTTACTTCTGTTATTGAAACTAATTGGCCTTAAAACTTATTTAGTTATATTACTTAATTCTCAAGCTGCTCAGTTATAACTTACTCCTCATATTCAAGTGCGTCGATATGTAAGTTCCAATTTAAATTTCTCGAGTGTATTTTATGATAGTTATGTTGAGATAAGGCGAGTTTTAGGTCGATCCATCTGAAATGGATCAAAGTTCCACTGTCCAATAAAAAGTAACTAAGCGGATTGTTCCGACCCGGTTTTTAACGGCGTTCATGTATTTTGGGTATCCCGAGACCTAAGTATGGGGACGTCTTTATTTCTAGAGTGGGGGGGTATTTTGGTAGTGGCCTTTAAGCTGTAATGGGTTCCAGTCTCATGTCGCAAGCGAACCGAATTGGCTCCGACCGTTCTTGAGGCGGAAAAACACAAGAGATAGTGTCCCTGACTCTTGAGCCAATGGTTATAGGGCCTATTTTTCTTAAGCCTCATATGTGACTAAAGTAGGCGACTGTTACATGTAAAGTTTCAAAATTTCACATTTTTCCTTCATATCAATTATTATTTTTTTTTGGATAATTGTTAGATAGATTGATTAATCAGGTCCATATAAGATGGTACTTGAAAGAAATTTTTCAGCGGCGCTTCTAAGATTGAAATACATTGTGCGCTTGCTCAAGTTGGTGCTCTTTCAAGGATAACTTTTCCAAATTGTTGGATTATTGCACAAAATGAAGCTAATTTATTATATTTTTTATTATTATTCATATTATTGTTCACAAAATTGTGCAGCAAGAGACACTGATTAATTATATATTTTTATCGGTTTGGTATTTTTGGATAAAAACCAGCTTTTGTGCTAAATGGGCTCGTTGTGAGGTTTGTTATGATGCGTTTCAAAGCAAGCAATTTTGTTTTCTTTAATTTGTTTTTCGGACACGTGACGTATTCCAACTGGTGTTTTTTTTTGATTATTTAAATGGTTCAAAAGAAAGCAAACCAAATTCTTAGGTTGAAAAAAACACAGTTTTTTCGGCGAGAAAAATATCACAGCAACTCGCTGTGGCGGGCTTTGGCTTTTCAAAAAGCCCTCAATAGATAGTCAATTATCTCCTTTTTTTAATCCTGAATTCTATATCAAGCCCGGGTTGACAAAAATGCTTGTCATACAATTTTCATTTTTGAAAAAAATGCTTATCATATTCTTTCATACAATTTCATAGAATAAAAGTGTATGTATGAAAATAGCAAAATAAGCATTTTTTTCATATATGAAAATGTATGAAAAGCATGTTTCCCATACTATGAAATTGTATGATAATCAGTTTTCCACAAATGAAACTTCAAAAATTTTTGTTTCGAAATTTTCTGTTTCAACCGAAACACTAACCAAAGATTTTTTTTCATGAGAAAACCCAGAGTGTAACTGGCAACTTGATCTTCCAATCTCCTATATGGTTGATTAACGCTTGGGCTTGGTGGTTGGGAATATCGCTTGGTTCCGAGGAATACCGTTACTAATAAGTTGTAATTGGAGTGTTGTAGTGTCCCATACAATTCAAAGGAACTCTGGTTTGATGACTTAATAGTTTTTCTCTTGGCTATTTAAGATTCTTGATGCAAAATCTTTCAGTCTTTTCTGCTCTAGGTCAGAAATCCGACCTGCTATCGATGCGCATCATCTTATTCTAATTTTCAATGTTTTTTCAAAGTGCCATTTTAAAATACTTTCTAAATTCTTTGTAAATTTTTTTAAAATTTGTTTTCAAAAATGTTTTGTGGTGGCTAATTTTTAGCTGTATAAATCTTCAATCAGCTGTTTTATTAGCGCTCGTTGCGATGTAGTCAGATAGGGATGAAACTTGTCAAGGGGTGTTTTGACTCCAGGAATGAATTAATAAATAATTTAGATCTCAGTTTTCTAAATTGCATTAGTGTCAAAATTTTTAGGTGTTCTTGTCAATTTTTTTTCTTTTTTTTCTGCCAATATCCATTGCTGGTCTATTGATCTTACTGTTACGGTTGAAAAGAGGTCTAGGCACACAAAGGACTTCTGCATTTCAAGTATATAGCATTTCAGAGCTCGGCAGGCATGTCTGCGAGGCCGTAGAGTCTGACTTACAATACTGAAGTTGCATAGTCCCTGGTTTTGTTATTCAGTGACAGTTGACTATTTAGGTAACTTGAGTCGCTATTTTTAAAATATTTCCCCCTTTTTTCTGTTTTTTCTACTACAGCTGAGGCACGCCTTCCTGAAGGGAACTGATGTTTGGCACGTGATTCCTAGTTTTCGATGCATTTGCTTGTTTGTCTCGAGCCCAGTGCAAGTTCCGCCGCTTGGTCTATTTAAACAATTCTATTTATTTGATCGAAAAAAAAACATCCTCTGGAAACCGAAATTTGAAAAAATCTGATATAACATCTTTACTAAGGCTTTTTATCAAACAGTTATTTCACTGGAACCTGTTATGTACCTCATTTGGGTATTTGAGATTATAGTCTGAGCCAAGTTTCCATGTCAACTTGTGTTCATAAATCCGTTTTGATGAAGTATTGGCAATTTTTTTTTGCATTCAATCTCTCTTCGGGCCACGAACATTTTACTTCACCCGACGCCCATACTTCACCCGACTTCTAGGTCATTGCAACCTTATGTATATTTGTCCGTACCTTCGATTAAAAACCAGGCAACCGATACCTGTTGGTCAGCACCACGCTCAGCGACTTGATTTATAGCTCACTGAATTGATGAAGCTGAACATCTCAGTGTTATGTCTGTTGCTTCTGAAGATCAAGTTGAATGTAGCAGCTAAATAAGGAGATCCAGTGTCCCTGAGTATATCCAGTGTCCCTGATCTTTGCCATAAAAGATGGACTTTAATTGCAATATATGAGCGATTTGAGCGGTTTTTCAGCAAGGTTTGAGCGGATTGGGCGGTTTGAGCGGTTTTTTTAGATAAACCGTTCAAAAACCGCTCAAACCGCTCTTTTTGAAGCAAGATTTTGAGCGTAATTGTCTAAAAAAAACCGCTCAAATCTTGCTTCAAATTAACTGAAAAATCTCGACTCGGGTGTTCTCAATTCGACTGCAGAAATTCAAAGAGTTCCATCGAGGGACAGGGTCTGTAGTCGTTAGTTCGTTTAGTAGAATTACTGTTGCTCAGTACAACGTGACAAATGATCATATGTCTCCCAGCATGCGGTTAATGTTCAATCAGTGTTCTTATCAGGGTGACCACTGGGTCACTATTTTAGTGACCAGTCACTATTGGTCACTAATTGGTCACTATTTTTTCAATGGTCACTTAAAGTCACTATTTACAACGGTTTTTGGCGCCATTATATCTAATATTGAGGGGGGAGCGCGCGCCGAAAAAACGCATTTTTTTTTCAAATTTTTTCAAAAATTGCCTAAAAATAATTTTTTCAGCCTGTTTATTCAAAAATATGCCTGCGTCGCAGAAATTTTGGCCAGAACAGGGACTTTTTAGTGCTTTGGCAGAGCTTGAAAAATTAATTTGTTCTACCTAAAAAAAAGGTCGACAAAAAATTCGAAAATTGTCATGGTCACTATTTTTCTCTGAAAAAAGTGTTCACCCTGGTTCGTATTTACCGTATGTTGTTGTGTTTGTCTCTTTCGTTCTTCAATATCAAGATCATTAAAATTATTAAAGAGTGAATTGGTAGCTACAACACAAGCCATTTCACGAAACAGCTATAACATAAGTTAAATGACCACCACAGAAGTAATCAAGGGAAAAAACTTTTTTTGAACTTGTATACTTAAAACAAAACAAAGCTATGTTTCACTGTTATCCTCAAAGTTAAAATCAGAACACTATGAGTTCGGTCGAGGGACAGGGTCTGTAGTCGTTAATTCGTTGAGTAGTCGTTAGTTCGTTAGCCTAATTGTTGTGATAAACTTATTAAACAGATAGGGTTATGTTTACTCGCGGACGACTGAAGAGTGCACAGACCTCTCCTTGTAAATCCTGCAACGCAGATGTGAAGAAAGGGACTGTGGAGTTCAATGCAATCCATGTTCAGGATGACTGCACTGTGCCTGTACTGACATATCAGCCGAGGTGTACGACCATCTTTCTACAATTCGCGGACTTTTTAGGCATGCGATGAATGCGTGGATAATACAAAGACAGCAGTGAAGACATCAATTAAAGAGAAGCCTATTGAAAATGCTATTCATGATATAAAAACGGAGATTGACCTTTTGAAAGCGGCTTTCGATACTGTTAGTACTA